AAAAACAACACTATTGCAGCAAAGACAACTCTTTGGAATATGAACAGAGAATACTAAATCAAAGTTGTTTCATAACGACAATTAGAGGACAATCCCATATTGTTATGATCTTCCATTGTTTAATCTCACTAAACAAAGGACAAGAAGTCACATATGTCAATAGTCTGTGTGATGGGGCAACAAAAATAAAAAACAGTACACAGTCAATGAACTAAGTGAGTGAATGACTGATTACTGTAATAAAATAACTTGACATGTATACTAATGGATACTAATAAAGGACTGGCTTATCTATAGCCAGTTGAGTAGCACTTGAAATGTTTGGCTCTATGAAACCTGATGTACTTATATGATTCTGTTTTCTTCAAGGTTGTGTCTTCCTGGTCGAACGTACTTACTGTAAGTCGCTTTGGATAAAAGCGTCAGCTAAATGCAATGTAATGTAATGTAATGTAATGTAACATGTGTACCTTTAAAAAATATGAAGAGATACAAGAAAATGTTCCATACTGTACATGTATTTAACCTATCTAATATATAACCTATTTCCCAATTTTAGTGGTCGTTTTTAAAAAAAAATCATTCCAATCTCTCAATTCTTAGCAGGTTTGCTACAATTATAACTAAGACCTCTTGTGATGTTTCCTGTGTACTTCAAATGCTAAATATAGCCTGTTTTGAGTACACATCATACAAATTATAAACCCCCCACTGGTACATCTGAACTTATTTTCTGATTGGTATCCAGTTACCCTACAGGACCACTGAGCGCTGTGTGTGTGTGTGTGTGTGTGTGTGTGTGTGTGTGTGTGTGTGTGTGTGTGTGTGTGTGTGTGTATGTGTGTGTGTGTGTGTGTGTGTGTGTGTGTGTGTGTGTGTGTGTGTGTGTGTGTGTGTGTGTGTGTGTGTGTGTGTGTGTGTGTGTGTGTGTGAGCCCCTTGTTTGCATGCAGCATGACACTTTGTGAATGCATAGCATGATTAGCAGCAATTTATACTACATTCAAATCTTAATTTTGCCCTCAGAGATAATTCTGCCTACAAAGCCGAATCAAAGCTCTTGGCCTCTGTTTACATTTCAGCGGCTTTAACAAAAAGCCTTGCCCTACCCCATCCAGTGCTGCCTCAGCTTCACCTCTCCTCTATGTAGGCCTCGGTGCACTCCCTCTGGGTATGAAGTCTCAGAGCTGGGGCCTCTTTGGGAGCTGTGGTGCCCCTGGCTCTGTGAGTCATGGAAGATCTGATGGCTTTCTAATGAGGTTTTAAGACCTGATGCCAACAGGCCAGGTGCATAAGCCTGTATAGGTGGGTTGCATTGTGTGTACTTTGTAGGAGGAATGTGTGTGTGTGTTTAATCTTGGTGAATGCACATACAAATGATGTACACCTGCAGGAACAAGTGTGTGTTTGCTTGTGTAGGTGCCGATTATGTACAATCATGTCTTAATCTCTTATGCGTTTGCCGCACATGTTTATAGTGGATAACTCATGCTGAAAGATGTGAAAATCTGATTCCTGTAAAACATAATTATGTAATGATGCTGTGTTTGTGTAAAACTTAAATAAAAGCCAACCAAAAAAAACCATGTAAGAGAGAATAATGTGTCATCCGGTGAAAGTGATGCTCTTCTACGTTACTGTGAGTGATCCAGGTTTAAGGGGCTTATGCTGCACACAGTAAGAGTTGGAGACATGTGACTTCAGCCACTTATTGCTCTTATTACTTGTTCAGTATAGCAGTGAACCAACAACCACCCATATCTAAACAACAACAACAAAAATTATACTTTTGACTAACTGCAAAAAATGGCATGAAATAGGTGCCTTCAGGTTTAGTTATACTAAATATATATACTAACTATATTACTCAGGTAAGATTAGTGGGAAGAATTGTTCCATTGTTAAAATAAATCAATGTTGGCTGGGAGCAGGAGGTAAGACATCATCTTTGGTGTACCATGTCAGCCAAATTTCCCAAAAATTCAATGACCACCTAAGAGCTTGACACCACGAGAATTTTTTAATATATCAGAACAGACCGAAATCAGCTCATTGCAAAGTAACCACCACACTCAGTGGTTTCGCTTGTACATTTTCCAGATAGCTTGTGCATAGAGTTAGACTTTGGTTAACTTGGACACGCATGTATTCCATTGACATCTGCCAATTAAAAAAAAACATTGAGAACCGTTATAGAGAACAACCAAACATCCATGAGTGCATCTCAGCTGTTCAGTCAAAAATACTTTTTGACATAAAAAAGTAAGGATTAAAAGAAATAACATTGCATCCCACAAACTAATTAAATACAAACGTAAAAAAATAAATAAGTGGACTTTAAGCTCTAAATGACACCAGTGTTCTCTTTTACGACACAGAAGGGCTAAGTTATGATTGGATCACAGAATAAAGGCCCTTCTCATTGCGACCGAGGACAAGTATGTGGTCAAAACCCGAGTCTCCATGCTTCCAAAGGCCAACAGGGAAGCCAGGCAAAGGCCTGTGTCCATGTCAGCATTTGTTTTTGATTTTTGGCCAAATGTAAACGAGTCCATTGTACGAGTAGAACATGGAGAGAGTGGAGCATCCATGAAAATAAGCCTCACACAGAAAAGCCCTGTAGTTAGACGGGCCACAGAACAGGCTGTTGGGCTCTGAACCACACCACAGCAGGGCGCGCTGTGTGTGTGTGTGTGTGTGTGTGTGTGTGTATACATTTGCACTGCTAAATTTCATGAGGGGTCTTTGATTAGCCTACATCATGGCGAGAGTGGAGAGGGGGAGACAAGAAGTGTGGAAAATCTACCATTAGCATTATAATATGCAAAAAACATTCTGGTTCTTAAGCATGTTTAATTTCATGAATTTGCTAAAAAATGAAAGCTGTATTCATATGTTTTGGCCTATAGGGGCAGTACAACCCCATCGCCAGGTCACAAATGACATATGAAATTGTAATAGCTAACATGAAAGCAAAAGGCTATTCATACAATAAGCAGACACAGTAATTGTCAACAATAATTTAGAGTCTTCTTTCTGTTGATCGGGGAATTCAAGTCCAGTCAATGTCCTTTCTGATTCCGCATTGTTTATTTTTTCTTCTTATTCCTGTCGTTTTGGTCTCCACTATCTCCACCAAAAGTATGGTTCTGTAATGTGGGTGTATTCGAGCTTGGTTGCTGAAACAAGGCTGAGACTGAAGCATACATTAGATGTGCCATCAAACCAAAAATAAATGTAGCCAAAGAAGCCAAACACTTCCATAAAACTGAAGAGTTGTCCTGTGAGATAAGTTAATGAGAGGCAATTTAATTGCTAGTGACTCCTTACACATTACACATGATGCTTTGTCAAATTGTATTTAAAAATGCGAAAACAGTTCATTAATAAGCCTAGATTTATCTAATGTGTGCTATTAATATTAATAATTAATCTCATGAAAACTGGGGGGCCACTGGCGAGCAGCAAATTAGCAGATTTTCTAATCATTTAGGGGCTTTAGTATTGTTGAGTTAATTTATTTCAAAAGGATGTATACCGTACTGATTTAAACATGGATTTCAATTTCATTATATTAAAACATTTTATAAATATCCCATATGTGTAAATATTTGTGTTTTTTCTCCTGACAACAGGTAATATTACATTACATTACATTACATTGCATTTAGCTGACGCTTTTATCCAAAGCGACTTACAATAAGTGCGTTCATCCAACAAAATACAACTTGAAGAAAACAGAATCATAAAAGTACATCAGGTTTCATAGAGCAAAAACATTTCAAGTGCTACTCAACTGGCTTTAGAAAAGCCAGTCCTTTATTAGTATAAAAGTGCTTCGTTAATAGTTATATCGCTCGAAGTGGAGTCGAAAGAGATGAGTTTTCAGTTTGCGCCGGAAGATGTGCAAGCTATCTGCCGTCCTGATGTCAATGGGGAGCTCATTCCACCATCCTGGAGCCAGGACAGCAAACCCACGTGTTTTCGCCGTTGGGAACTTGGGTCCCCCTCGCAGCGAGTATAAAGCAGCGAGTATAAAGCAGCGAGTAATAGCTTTATAAAGCAATAACTTTTAACAAGTGATGTGAATATGTCCTTGAATGCACCACCAATGACTACATTGTAACAATTGGAAAGTTACACAAACAGGTTTATATTCTCTGTTGATTTTCAAAATGCGCCAAAATAGATAGAAACAAAGTCTGTCTGAAAACTTGGTCGGTAACATCAAGTCCATCTTGTCTATAACGGTTTAGGGGGCTGAAGCCAATCCCAGCTGACATTGGGCAGATGTAGGGTGCAAAGCCCTGGCTGGCAACAATGTAAAGTAAAACCATATATTTATAGTTTTAAACCATGCAAAACCACCACTATGGTTCCACACAGCTGGTGTGGTCTCCGTGGCATACTTTACTGTGTCTATTATATGTAAATGTGGGACTTCTGGTTCAGGTTACAGGGCTATAAATGTCCATGCACTTGTATGTATGTGTGAGAAAGAGAGATGCTACGGAAATGTATCACATCCGGCGGTAATCTCACAGAAGAATGTCCACACAAACAAGTGGTGAGTGAAGGTCATGTCTGCATTTCACATGGACAATACACACACAAACATACACATACACACAAACATATACATGAAAAAAATAAACACTTGCCTTATCTGTAGCTGTCTTTTCATCTCCCAGGATGTTTCTTTATTTATCAGCGGAAGCTAAAGTGATAAACCCACAGCTGTTCTCTTTGCACCTACAGCCACACACACACACACACACACACACACACACACACACACACACACACACACACATACACACACACACACACACACACCATGTATACATCACTTCAGGGGACATTACATTGACTTACATGCATTTCCTGGAGACTTATCCTAACCTTAACCATAACCAACACATGCCTAACCCTAACCCTAATCCTAAACCTAACCAAGTCTTCACCCTAAAATGAATGATTCCCCTTATGGAGACCTCCAATTTGTCCCCATAAGGGAAGCCAGTCTCCACACGTGACTATGTAAACAGATTTAGGTCCCCACAAGTATAGTAATGCTAGACCACACACACACACATCCTTGTGCAACTCAATTGTGGGGCCCGAACTGATTTTACCCAATTGTGGGGTCCACCCTTTCCAACTATACTAGACCTCCGTAAAAAAATCAGGCAATATAGAAAAAAAACTAGAATCACAAAAATCACTTGAAATAAACATAATTCCAAGCTTTTGTCATTATGCTAGTTTTTTACCCACGTAGTGGGGCCCAGTTTCTAGCAGTCAGCACTTATGAGGTCCATTATACACACACACACACACACACATATTTCTAGTTTTCATATCTTGGAAGGGATCAGACACACACATATTTCTAGTTTTCATATCTTGGAAGGGATCAGAGTTACTAGAGACATTATTGAGTTGAATGGACTTTCCTTGTTACCAAAGAAACTGCAGAACAGCATCATGAACATTTACATTCTACTCTGATATTTTTTACACCAACAAATTCACATTGCTGGTAAAATAAGTCATTACTTAGGTGATTAGCCTCATCTTAACATAGAATATAACTAGACAGTAGACATGGCAGTAACATTGAAACACCATGGAGACCAAATCAATAATCCCCTAAAGATCCTTTTCGTTCAACATTGTTTTTTCTTAGAGGCAACAATTAGTAATTCTTGAGAAAAAAGTATAATTCATATAAACTCTCTACAACATTATTTTAATGCTATAAATATTTATTTGTATATTATTGGGGTGTTTCTATATCGTTAAAACAAAATGTACAACTTGACCAATCCCATGACCCAAAAAACAAAACAAACAGGCCTAACAAATCAGTAGACTTTTACCTCCTTTTGAGTTACATTTAACAATGACATATTCTGGTCATTTTGAGGTTCAAATTTGTATAAAGTTTCTCTCCTGTGAAATGTTTCCATGCTTCAATGAGGGATTTTAGACTTTGAAAAACATTTACATGCACAAAAACATATTTTCTACACTACAGGAGAGGGAAAACCCTAAAAGCAAAAAAGGAAATCTTTGAAAACATGGATGATTCTTTCTAGCAGCATAATCGGAATGCAATTGATTTCCCTTTAATTTATATTAGTTGACGATTCAAAAATGAAAATTTGGTTTGGTTTAGGTAAAGCCCCTAGTTTTGGTAGTGGTACTTGAAATCCTTCTTTCAACATTGAACGTATTTTTCCTTGGTTCAATTTTATTTCATTTACATTCGGAGAGAAGAAATTGAAATGTTAATGTAATACTTAACGGCTCCCCAGTCCCTATTTGTTAGGGCTTGAGGTTCGGCAGGGATACAATCCTCACATGCATCTTTCCCTGGAACCTGGTTCTTGATTGTCCATTTCATAACCCAAGTGTTGTTCCACAGCAGCACTTTCTGCTGACGTCCAGCTGCGTTTCACAAACGTTTGTTTCCCTAGGTGGACAAATAATAACATGTCATAGGTTTAAGAAGTTTAAGAGCCAGTTATTATCATACAGTTAAGAATCTTATAAAACATTTAAAAAGTACCCATATTGCAGATCTGAAAGAATGTTAATGGTGATCACTTTATTCCATCACAATCAGACACACCATTTTGTTTGATACTAAGAGTTTGATTATCAACAATGTATCTGTAAGCTCCCATTCATTGTGCAGATACAAACTAGCGTCTGGCATAATTTATAGAATTTATCAAAGTTGCAAAATGGTATTCCAGAAGATGTCCGTGTGGCTCATTTACAGTCCTGCTCCAGTGTAGTTTGTGACATCCAAGGCAAATACTTGAAAATGTCTATGTTGCAGAGTAAATGAATACACTTAATTTATTACAGACAGAATACTTACTTAAATGTACATAATAATACATGTAAACATTGTAAAATGTAAAAGGTCTTATCTTGGTACATAGTGAAAAGGAAAGAATAAACATATTGTGGAGACGGCTCCATATTACTGAATTACCTCGGTAGTAGCACAGTCACTGTTTGATGCTTATGTAGACATAAAGTTCCAAGGAGAGCGTCTCGTCCTCAACTCCCTCCCTGGATTAGTCTGCCCGTTTGTCACCTGGAACTGAGATACAAAAATAATGCACTAAGAAGATAGTAACCATGCATATAATCATTAGTTGCTGAAGTTAGCTAAATGACAAACTATCTGAAACTGGATTTGGATCAAAACAAAGGCATGGCATTATTTAGTCCTGTGGTCTCAATACATTTTACAATATCAAAAAGGGGTTGCAATGGACTGCTTTCAAATTACCCTTTCAAACATGCACAGGCTCAGGAAGTGTAGAATTATACATACAATGACCTACTATTAGATGTGATAAAGGTACTTTAGAAATAATTGTATTCATTTTAGGTCCTAACCAAACGGGAGGGCCCCATAAGGACAAGACTAGAAACAAGTGTGTGTGACAGGTTTCTGTAACTACTCCCATCGAGGCTAACGTAAATGATAACCGTTTTAACCATGCTTATGCTCACAAAGTGTTAACTTACGCCTACAACAACTTGAGTTTAGATTCTAAAAGGTGTTGCACAAATGTTTTTAAATGACTTTAAGTTATAACCAAATGGGAGGGCCCCATAAGGACAAGACTAGAAACCAGTATGTGTGACAGGTTTAAGTAACTACTCCCATCGAGGCTAAGGTAAATGATAACCGTTTTAACCATGCTTATGCTCACAAAGTGTTAACTTACACCTACAACAACTAGAGTTTAGATTCTAAAAGGTGTTGCACAAATGTTTTTAAATGACTTTAAGTTATAACCAAACGGGAGGGCCCCATAAGGACAAGACTAGAAACCAGTATGTGTGACAGGTTTAAGTAACTACTCCCATCGAGTCTAAGGTAAATGATAACCGTTTTAACCATGCTTATGCTCACAAAGTGTTAACTTACACCTACAACAACTAGAGTTTAGATTCTAAAAGGTGTTGCACAAATGTTTTAAAATTACTTTAAGTTATAACCAAACGGGAGGGCCCCATAAGGACAAGACTAGAAACCAGTGTGTGTGACAGGTTTATGTAACTACTCCCATCGAGGCTAAGGTAAATGATAACCGTTTTAGCCATGCTTATGCTCACAAAGTGTTAACTTACACCTACAACAACTAGAGTTTAGATTCTAAAAGGTGTTGCACAAATGTTTTAAAATTACTTTAAGTTATAACCAAACGGGAGGGCCCCATAAGGACAAGACTAGAAACCAGTGTGTATGACAGGTTTAAGTAACAGATCCCATTATAGCTAGTCTAAAAATATGTTCAATTTAGTTTCCTCAGTCAGATCTGCACAAATCACTGAATTAGTAACAGGATTAAAGCTGTATCAGAAAAGCGTTTTTTTAAAAAAGGTCCTCTCTTGAAAAGGACAACATTAACATATTGTGGAGACAGCTCCATATTACTGAATTACCTCAATATCAAAAAGGGGTTGCAATGGACTGCTTTCAAATTACCCTTTCAAACATGCACAGGCTTAGGAAGTGTAGAAATATACGTAGAATGAACCTATAACACAAGAATGCACTAAGAGAAGATCTCAAAAGGTATAGCTATCCAATGATAAACAAATTAATCACGTACTATAATTATTTGGACGGAAACAATAAAATGTGTTGAATCACGTGTTATTGTTGAGTTATATGTGTAAATGTACCTGTTTGCGCAAAGGCCAGTCAGCATCCCCGTAACTGCAGGTTATTTCTTCTTCTGGCGAGTTGTCTCTGCAAATAGGCAGAGATGTGGCATCCAATCAATGACAATAGTTTTCATCTTGCAGTTTGGTGTTTGCCCAGTAACTTGTCTTGAAGAGATGCATCAAGGGGTCAAGACTTAAATAAATAGAGATTGAATGTTAGTAGTATAATTTGCATACTTGGATTGGATACAGTGTTGAAAGTAACATTTAAAAAGAAAAATTATTATTATTATTATAGACTTCAGAAAACACCGTCCAGAACCCTCCCCCCTTCACCTCAATGGAGAGAGAGTGGAGAGGGTCCCCACCTTTAAGTTCCTGGGGGTTCAAATTTCGGAGAGCCTCAGCTACGGTCATGTTGCCGGTTAGAATGTTATGTTTACATATTCACTCACCTGTGTCTGAGACACATTACATTCAAATGTTTATCAACAAAGTTTGATTAAAACATCCAAAGGGTTATGTTTAAATCATCATAACTGTCGTCAAAAAATAAGAAATAATAACCCAATTGGCCCCAGAGATGCTTATTTAATTATATATGATGTATTCTGAATAATAACTGTTTGACTAAAACAGTTATTGGGATAACTTTGTATTATTATATGGGAACATGCTCAACTTCCATGTGGCCCATTTATATGATGCCCAGAGTCTGTAACAGGCATATGGTGTTTCTTTCGTTTTAAACACTCACATTTGACTTTTGTAAGTGGCTTATTTATTGATGAATGAATATTTAGAAAATGTTACCAAATATTACAAAATTATCTTATCTTAAATAATTGCATAGCTTTTTGCTTTTACCTAGCTTTAAATGTTAATACTGCCAGTAAAAAGTAACTTTTTGGAGTTAAGATTCCCATGGGAAGCAATGTTGGGATTATAAATTAAGATATTGTGATTTAATTTGCACTATTTGCTTGTGTTTATTTAAAACATACAACATTGTAAGTACTTACCTTTAAACGGTGTGTTAAAAATGTGATCCTGGCATCCTGTTGAAGACCAAGCCGTCTCTTCCTCACTGAACTCTGTTTTCTTAATTGTCAGCCATCTCACCTGTTAGACAGAAGAATAGCCTTAATTATTAATTACACCCTGATCCTGTTCAGGATATTTCAATGTTAGCAGGTTCACAGTAGTGTCAGTCAGTTCAGTCATTCTGATGTTTAATGATGACCATTGTCACATAACTTATTGAAGCTAATGTTATCCCAACTTAATTGAATAAGAAAGTTAATAGCTAGCTTACTGGCTAAGAAGGTATAATATTATGTATTATTTACACCACTTTTACAAAGAGAAGTGCCACATGAAAGCCATGTGCACTAAAAGCCTGACTTAATGGCGTGCTGTTCACTCTCTCAGTCTTCTAACCTCATCATGTAGCGCTTGACTGTTTAGCTGAAGCTGTGAATATTTTTCAGCCAAACTCAACTCTTCAGCTGTTTGCTGGCTGTTCTGTGCTTTGCTCTCTGTTGTATCCATATCATCACTGTTGCCAGTATTTTTCATTATTTGCTAAATGAGTTTTAGCAATTTCCTTAGATGATACATTGAAATATCCTCTTCTTCATCATTTATTACATTATCCACGGATTCTGTTATTAGTCTTGTTAAAGCTCGCCTTGTAATGACATTTCCACTTGAGACTTTAGCTTCATCACACACCTCTTTGAGCTGATCCAGTTGCAACCTGCTGTGCGCGTCCGGTGCTCCAGCCCTGCTCGCTCCCGTCAGGGGAAAACTCCGTCCGAGTTGGTGTCACACACAGACACGGCGAAACATTAATACCTCAGCAGTGCCTCCAATATTTGTTGCACACGTGGACACAAGAGGGATTTCCAGGCGTGCATACGTTTAAAAAACAAGACGATCTTTACTTCAATTCTTCAATTTACGTAAAAGCAAGACTTTACATCACGTGTCTGCATGCACTCCTCTCATCCCCCGAGCTGCCCCCCCCCCACGTGCCTGTGTAAACTTCACTAATTTAGGCATTGCACATGAATACAGTGCATAAATATCCAAAATCCTATGGAGGAGAAATCACGTTGCTTACTTCCGGGTTTTAGGATGCGTCACTGCATCACTGCTCTGTCCTGTTTCTGAACTCACAGCACAGCTTAGTAAGAGTGGGGGAGGGGAGGGCAATCAGGTGCACGTGCACCATGCTCTGCAAATGCACGGGGAAACGAACCACAGGAATATTGCCGTTGTTAACTCCCTGCATCCTGATGCTATCTTTACTTGTACTCAAGCACAAGATCTGAATAATTCTACTTTTACTCAAGTACAAGATCTGAGTACTTCTACTTTTACTCCAGTACAATATCTGAGTACTTTTACTCAAGTACCAGATAGAGTACTTCTACTTTTACTACAAGATCTGAGTACTTCTACATTTACTCAAGTACAAGATCTGAGTACTTCTACTTTTACTACAGATCTACTTTTACTCAAGTACAATATCTGAGTACTTCTACATTGACTCAAGTACACTATCTGAGTACTTCTACCTTTACTACAAGATCTGAGTACTTCTACATTTACTCAAGTACAATATATGAGTACTTCTACTTTTACTACAAGATCTGAGTACATCTACATTTACTCAAGTACATATCTGAGTACTTTTACTCAAGTACCAGATCTGAGTACTTCTATTTTACTCAAGTACAAGATCTGAGTACTTCTACTTTTAATCAAGTACAAGATCTGAGTACTTCTACTTTTACTTTACTACAAGATCTGAGTACTTCTACTTTTATTTTACTACAAGATCTGAGTACTTATACTTTTACTCAAGTACAAGATCTGAGTACTTCTATATGTACTACAAGATCTGAGTACTTCTACTTTTACTCAAGTACAAGATCTGAGTACTTATACTCAAGTCCAATATCTGAGTACTTCTATATTTACTACAAGATCTGAGTACTTATACTCAAGTACAAGATCTGAGTAGGCTACTTATACTTTTACTAAAGTACAAGATGAATACACTGCATACATATCCAAAATCCTATGGAGGAGAAATCATGTTGCGAGGGAACCAGCAGCTTGTTTCCGGGTTTTAGGACGCGTCACTGCATCACTGCTCTGTCCTGTTTCTCACAGCACGGCTTAGTAAGAGTGGGGGAGGGGAGGGCAATCAGGTGCACGTGCAAACCATGCTCTGCAAATGCACGGGGAAACGAACCACAGGAATATTGCCGTTGTTAACTCCTTGCATCCTGATGCTATCTTTACTTGTACTCAAGTACAAGATCTGAATAATTCTACTTTTACTCAAGTACAAGATCTGAGTACTTCTACTTTTACTCAATTACAAGACCTGAGTACTTCTACTTTTACTAAAGTACCAGACCTGGGTACTTATACTTTTACTCAAGTACAAGATCTGAATAATTATACTTTTACTCAAGTACAAGATCTGAGTACTTCTACTTTTACTCAATTACAAGACCTGAGTACTTCTACTTTTACTAAAGTACCAGACCTGGGTACTTATACTTTTACTCAAGTACACGATCTGAGTACTTATACTTTTACTCCAGTACAATATCTGAGTACTTTTACTCAAGTACCAGATAGAGTACTTCTACTTTTACTACAAGTTCTGAGTACTTCTACATTTACTCAAGTACAATATCTGAGTACTTTTACTTTTACTCAAGTACCAGATAGAGTACTTCTACTTTTACTACAAGATCTGAGTACTTCTACATTTACTCAAGTACAATATCTGAGTACTTCTACTTTTACTACAAGATCTGAGTACTTCTACATTTACTCAAGTACATATCTGAGTACTTTTACTCAAGTACCAGATCTGAGTACTTCTATTTTACTCAAGTACAAGATCTGAGTACTTCTACTTTTACTAAAGTACCAGACCTGAGTACTTCTACTTTTACTTTACTACAAGATCTGAGTACTTGTACTTTTACTCAAGTACAATATCTGAGTACTTATACTCAAGTCCAATATCTGAGTACTTTTACTCAAGTACAAGATCTGAGTACTTCTATATTTACTACAAGATCTGAGTACTTATACTCAAGTACAAGATCTGAGTACTTGTACTTTTACTAAAGTACAAGATGAATACACTGCATACATATCCAAAATCATATGGAGGAGAAATCACGTTGCGAGGGAACCAGCATCTTATTTCCGGGTTTTAGGACGCGTCACTGCATCACTGCTCTGTCCTGTTTCTCACAGCACGGCTTAGTAAGAGTGGGGGAGGAGAGGGCAATCAGGTGCACGTGCACACCATGCTCTGCAAATGCACGGGGAAACGAACCACAGGAATATTGCCGTTGTTAACTCCCTGCATCCTGATGCTATCTTTACTTGTACTCAAGTACAAGATCTGAATAATTCTACTTTTACTCAATTACAAGACCTGAGTACTTCTACTTTTACTAAAGTACCAGACCTGGGTACTTATACTTTTACTCAAGTACAAGATCTGAATAATTCTACTTTTACTCAAGTACAAGATCTGAGTACTTCTACTTTTACTCAATTACAAGAACTGAGTACTTTTACTCAAGTACCAGATAGAGTACTTCTACTTTTACTACAAGATCTGAGTACTTCTACATTTACTCAAGTACAAGATCTGAGTACTTCTACTTTTACTCCAGTACAATATCTGAGTACTTTTACTTTTAGTCAAGTACCAGATAGAGTACTTCTACTTTTACTACAATATCTGAGTATTTCTACATTTACTCAAGTACAATATCTGAGTACTTCTACTTTTACTCCAGTACAATATCTGAGTACTTTTACTTTTACTCAAGTACCAGATAGAGTACTTCTACTTTTACTACAAGATCTGAGTACTTCTACATTTACTCAAGTACATATCTGAGTACTTTTACTCAAGTACCAGATCTGAGTACTTCTATTTTACTCAAGTACAAGATCTGAGTACTTCTACTTTTAATCAAGTACAATATCTGAGTACTTCTACTTTTACTAAAGTACCAGACCTGAGTACTTCTACTTTTACTTTACGACAAGATCTGAGTACTTATACTTTTACTCAAGTACAAGATCTGAGTACTTATACTCAAGTCCAATATCTGAGTACTTTTACTCAAGTACAAGATCTGAGTACTTCTATATTTACTACAAGATCTGAGTACTTATACTCAAGTACAAGATCTGAGTACTTATACTTTTACTAAAGTACAAGATGAATACACTGCAAACATATCCAAAATCATATGGAGGATAAATCACGTTGCGAGGGAACCAGCATCTTATTTCCGGGTTTTAGGTCGCGTCACTGTATCACTGCTCTGTCCTGTTTCTCACAGCACGGCTTAGTAAGAGTGGGGGAGGGGAGGGCAATCAGGTGCACGTGCACACCATGCTCTGCAAATGCACAGCGAAACGAACCACAGGAATATTGCCCTTGTTAACTCCCTGCATCCTGATGCTATCTTTACTTGTACTCAAGTACAAGATCTGAATAATTCTACTTTTACTCAATTACAAGACCTGAGTACTTCTACTTTTACTAAAGTACCAGACCTGGGTACTTATACTTTTACTCAAGTACAAGATCTGAATAATTCTACTTTTACTCAAGTACAAGATCTGAGTACTTTTACTCAAGTACAAGATCTGAGTACTTTTACTCAAGTACCAGATAGATTACTTCTACTTTTACTACAAGATCTGAGTACTTCTACATTTACTCAAGTACAAGATCTGAGTACTTCTACGTTTACTACAAGATCTGAGTACTTCTACTTTTACTCAAGTACAATATCTGAGTACTTCTACATTTACTCAAGTACAATATCTGAGTACTTCTACTTTTACTCAAGTACAATATCTGAGTACTTTTACTAAAGTACCAGATAGAGTACTTCTACTTTTACTACAAGATCTGAGTACTTCTACTTTTACTACAAGATCTGAGTACTTCTACTTTTACTCCAGTACAATATCTGAGTACTTTTACTTTTAGTCAAGTACCAGATAGAGTACTTCTACTTTTACTACAAGATCTGAGTACTTCTACATTTACTCAAGTACAATATCTGAGTACTTTTACTCAAGTACTGCACAGGGAAACGAACCACAGGGATATTGCCGTTGTTAACTCCCTGCATCCTGATGCTATCTTTACTTGTACTCAAGCACAAGATCTGAATAATTCTACTTTTACTCAAGTACAAGATCTGAGTACTTCTACTTTTACTCCAGTACAATATCTGAGTACTTTTACTCAAGTACCAGATAGAGTACTTCTACTTTTACTACAAGATCTGAGTACTTCTACTTTTACTCCAGTACAATATCTGAGTACTTTTACTCAAGTACCAGATAGAGTACTTCTACTTTTACTACAAGATCTGAGTACTTCTACATTGACTCAAGTACACTATCTTAGTACTTCTACTTTTACTACAAGATCTGAGTACTTCTACATTTACTCAAGTACAATATATGAGTACTTCTACTTTTACTACAAGATCTGAGTACATCTACATTTACTCAAGTACATATCTGAGTACTTTTACTCAAGTACCAGATCTGAGTACTTCTATTTTACTCAAGTACAATATCTGAGTACTTCTACTTTTAATCAAGTACAAGATCTGAGTACTTCTACTTTTACTTTACTACAAGATCTGAGTACTTCTACTTTTATTTTACTACAAGATCTGAGTACTTCTACTTTTACTCAAGTACAAGATCTGAGTACTTCTATATGTACTACAAGATCTGAGTACTTCTACTTTTACTCAAGTCCAATATCTGAGTACTTCTATATTTACTACAAGATCTGAGTACTTATACTCAAGTACAAGATCTGAGTAGGCTACTTATACTTTTACTAAAGTACAAGATGAATACACTGCATACATATCCAAAATCCTATGGAGGAGAAATCATGTTGCGAGGGAACCAGCAGCTTGTTTCCGGGTTTTAGGACGCGTCACTGCATCACTGCTCTGTCCTGTTTCTCACAGCACGGCTTAGTAAGAGTGGGGGAGGGGAGGGCAATCAGGTGCACGTGCACACCATGCTCTGCAAATGCACGGGGAAACGAACCACAGGAATATTGCCGTTGTTAACTCCTTGCATCCTGATGCTATCTTTACTTGTACTCAAGTACAAGATCTGAATAATTCTACTTTTACTCAAGTACAAGATCTGAGTACTTCTACTTTTACTCAATTACAAGACCTGAGTACTTCTACTTTTACTAAAGTACCAGACCTGGGTACTTATACTTTTACTCAAGTACA